GCATCATAATAATCATCTATGTTTATGACTGGTAAGTAAAATAACCTAGAAAGAACAAATACTGTAAACCTCGAGCCTGAGGGAGCATGTGTCTTCCCCATCTTCAGGGAGCTCTCTGGGTGATGTTGACAGCAGGACACCCTGAGCTGTGGGGCTGAGCAGGGTCTCTGATCTGGGGATGGGGGTGGGCAGTCCCCCTGTGAGCCTCCGGAGCAAGTCATGAAGCCTTTACTTGGGGGTGGAGGACAGTCCCAGAAGCTCCACTGACATTAACTCCTTGAAGGAAAGAGGGACACGGAAGTAGGAAAGGCTCCTGTCCTGGAACCCACAGTCCCCACCATGGGCTTGACCCATTCCTGCAGAATCTGTAAGAGACGGTTCCCACTGAGCCCAGAAGCCAAGGGCAGGGGGAGAGCACACAGTGAGCTCTGCCTTCAGGGCTTCCTCATGGGAGGCTTCATCATCACTGAGTTTACTAAAGCCTCACAGCCCCAGGGACCACTCAGGAAATGTTATACTGCAAACAATTCACTAACAACATGGGAACTCAGGGATGTATTTTGAGGGATAAACATATTCATAAGCAAGGAATTATTATATAGCACAGGAAATGCAGTCTGATATTCTGTCATAGTGTAAATGGGGAAAGAATAAAAAAAAACAACAGATACAGGTATATGCATAACAGAAACACTGTCCTGACACCTGGCACTAACAAACATCCTTAATCAATTATGGAGCAATATAATTAAAAATTGTCCTTCCCAGGTGGTGCTAGAAGTAAAGAGTATGCCTGTCAATGCAAAAGAAATAAGAGATGCAGGATTGATCCCTGGGTAGGGAAGATCCCTTGGAGGAAGGGATGGCAATCTACTTCAGTATTCTTGCCTAGGAAAGCCCATGGACAGAGGTGCCTGGCAGGCTGCAGTCCACAGGGTTACACCAAGTCGAGCATGACTGAAGGCATGAAGCCTGCATGCATAAAAAATAAATAGAAAAATAAAAGAACTGAGAGAGTTATGCCAGGAAAGACTGGTATGTAAATATATATCTATAAATCATTATTTGTCACACATGAGATACAGTTGGGGCTTCGTGGGTGGTTCATTGGTTTAAAAAAAAAAAGTCTGCCTGCCAATGCAGATGTGGGTTCAATCCCTGTGTCAGGAAGAACCTGTGAGGAAGGAAATGGCAACCCAATTCAGGATTGCTTTTTTAAAATTAATTTATTTTTTAATTGAAGGATAATTGCTTTACAAATTTTGCTTTTTTTCTTGTCAAAACTCAACATGAAATCAGCCATAGGTATCCATATGTCCCCTCCCTTTTGAGCCTCCTTCCCACCTCCCTCCCCACCCCACCCCTCTACATTGATACAGAACCCCCGTTTGAGTTTCCTGAGCCAAACAGCAAATTCCCATTGGCTCTCTATTTCACATATGGTAATGTAAGTTTCCATGTCACTCTTTCCATACATCTCACCCTCTCCTCCCCTCTCCCCATGTCCATAAGGCTGTTCTCTATGTTTGTTTCTCCATTGCTGCCCTGTAAATAGATTCTTCAGTATCATTTTTCTAGATTTTGTATATATGTGTTAGAATATGATATTTACCTTTCTCTTTCTGACTCACTTCACTCTGTATAATAGGCTCTAGGTTCATCCACCTCATTAGAACTGACTCAAATGCGTTCCTTTTTGTGGCTGAGTAATATCCCGTTGTGTACATGTACCACAACATCTTTATCCATTCACCTGTCGATGGACATCTAGGTTGCTTCCACGTTCTAGCTATTGGAAATAGTGCTGCAGTGAACAATGTGGTACATGTGTCTTTTTCAATTTTGGTTTCGTCAGGGTATATGCCCAGGAGAGGGATTGCTGGGTCATATGGTGGTTTTATTCCTAGTTTTTTAAGGACTCTCCATACCGTCTTTCATAGTGGCTGTATCAATTTACCTTCCCACCAACAGTGCAAGAACACTCCCTTTTCTGCACAGCCTCTTCTGCATGTATTGTTTGTAGACATTTTGATGATGGCCATTCTGACCAATGTGAGGAGATATCTCGTAGTTTTGATTTGAATTTCTCTAATAATGAGTGAAGTTGAGCATCTTTTCATGTGTTTGTCAGCCATCTGTATGTTTTCTTTGGAGAAGGGTCTGTTTAGGTCCTTTGCATTTGATTGGGTTGTTTTTCTGGTGTTGAGTTGTATGAGCTGCTTGTATACTTTGGAAATGAATCCTTTATCAGTTGTTTCATTTGCTATTATTTTTTCCCATTCTGAGGGTTGTCTTCTCACCTTGCTTATAGTTTCCTTTGCTGTTCAAAAGCTTTTAAGTTTAATCAGGTCCAACTTGTTTATTTTTGCTTTTATTTCCATTACTCTAGGATGTGGGTCATACAAGATCCTGCTTTGATTTATGTCATCAAGTGTCCTGCCTATGTTTTCCTCTAAGTTTTATAGTTTTTGTCTTACATTTAGGTCTCTAATCCATTTTGAGTTGATCTTTTGTGTATGGTGTTAGGAAGTGTTCTAATTTCATTCTTTTACATGTAGCTGTCCAGTTTTCCCAGCACCATTTATTGAAGAGGCTGTCTTTGTCCCATTGTATATTCTTGCCTCCTTTCTCAAAAATAAGGTTCCTATAGAGGCATAGGTTTATTTCTGAGCTTTCTCTCTTGTTCCAGTGCTCTGCATTTCTGTTTGTGTGCCAGTACCATACTGTCTTGATGACTGTAGCTTTGTAGTATAATCTGAAGTCAGGAAGGTTGATTCCTCCAGCCCCACTCTTCTGAAGGCTGCTTTTGGTATTTGTGGTCTTTTGTGTTTCCACCTGAATTGTGAAATTTTTTGTTCTAGTTCTGGGAAACATGCCATTGGTAATTTGATAGGGATCACAGGGGTGTTAACATTTGTTCTTCCTTCCTAAAATTCTTGATCTCTCAGCATCTATGTGTTTGTAAACATGATTTAGTTTGTATTTGCAGTTCATCTTTGGAACTATGCTCAGATTTAATGTGTTCATATGACAGCCTTGTCATTTGATACTAACTTGATGTTACACATATTTCTTCTCTGGTGAATGTCATTCTGTTCAGAGACACAAACATGATATGTGACATGGGGTGTTAGAAGGGTGAGACAAATGACTTGTCACATTTTTATCAGTTTCATCAACCAAGTTAAGTATCTTTTGTTTTTAAGGGTGCATCACGTGTGGAGAGCAGTACCCATTTGTCTAATAAAGAAAGAACCCTACATTTTCACATACCAATGTAAGTATGAGTATTTCAGAGGTAAAAACATGTTTGGCTAGAAATCTTGGTTTAAGTTCCCTCAAGAATTCCGTATACCTGAATTCTAGGTTTACTAACAATTAGAAGTTGCACCAGGTGCTGGTCCTAAATCTTCTGAGCACCTCATTTGTCATGAACACAGTGCCCAATCACAGAACTTGGCTGGTCCCTCACAATGAGGAGGCACCTGTTGTTGTTTAGTTGCTGAGTCATGTCCAACTCTTTGTGACTCCTGGGATGTAGCCCGCCAGGCTCCTCTGTCCATGGTATTCTCCAGGCAAGAATACTGGAGTGGGTTGCCACTTTCTCTTCCAGGGCATCATCCCCATCCAGGGATCAAACTCGCCTCTCTTGTCTCCAGCTGGGTTCTTTTTCCACTAGCATCACCTGGGAAGCCCATGAGTAATCTGAGAACATGCATAATCTGACTTAAATTGTCCCAACATGGCCCAAGTCTCATGGACTCACTGTGGCCTTGGGCAAGTTGCAAACACCTTGTCTGGGGCTATGAGACTATAAAGCTGCTTCAGCTCGTAAATTTTCTCCTTCTCAAGCAGGCTAACGAGTGTGTTTATACACTGAGCTTGGTGTTTGCACGTTTCCAGAACACAGCTGAGTGGTTTTTCCTCTCATCTTGATGAGTGATTGCAGGAAGGTGTGATGGACACCAGGAGAGAGAGAATGGGTGTATAGGGTATAGAGGGGATATGCAGTAGGTCAGAGTTGCTTCATGTCCAGACACACGGCACTGAGTAGACAGACAGGGTGGAGAGGAGGGGCAGATATTCAGGTGGGGATGGAGCTCACCACTAGGTGGTCACTGCCTGCATTTCCCAGCAGGTAAAATGTCTTCACACCAACAGACAAGGCCGTGGGCTCTGTCATACCTCAGACTGAGGGGCAGAGGAAACACAGCAATTCAAACAAAGTGTTCAGAAGGTTGCCTGGTCCAACATAGGCATGCAGGAACACAAGGTTATGAATGGTAAATTGATTTTGGTAAGGGGAAATCAACTTCATGGCTGCGAAACAGAAATACAAAGACTTTTTGAACCGAGTTTTGATAATATGCTCTTGGTGTTTAAAAAGCTTTTGGGGACTTCCCTGGTGACCCAGTGAAGAATCCACCTACCTGTTCAGGGATGACAGGTTGGATCCTTGGTCCAGGTCGATCCCACATGACTTGGGGCAATGAATCCCGAGCACCACAAGTACTGATCCTGTGGTCTCAATCCTGGGAGTTGGGAATAGTGAGACTGCAATCCACAACTACGGAAGCCTACAACCCCTAGAGCCCGTGGTCCACAGCAAGGGAAGCCACCGCAAGGAGAAGCCTGTGCACTGCAACTAGAGAGTGGTCCCCGCTCGCTGCTAGTGGAGAAAGCCTGCACAGCCACAAAGGCCCAAGACCACCAAAAATAAGCAAACTAATTGAAGATATTGCGAGGTCCATCACATAGCATGTTCTAGAAAGCATCTTAGAAGATAGCAAGAAGTGACTGGTTAACTGTAGGAAAAGGTGGGGATGAGGAAATATATTGCCTGCTTTCCTTGTTGTCATGAGAACGGTAGTGTTCAGAGCGAATTGACCCACACCTCAATACAGCACGGACTGTTGTTAATGCCCGGATTATGTCACAATGCATCTAAATGACAATAAATTAAAGTGGTTGTCTGTATGTAACTTTCCTCTCTCTCACAGATGAGGGTACATACCGACTTGAATTTATTCCTGTTTCCGAGAAAGCTCTGATAGCAATTAACGTGGATGAAACAGGCAACGAGCCAGATCAGGTTATACTGTTGGGTATGTATGACATCCCATGGTTCCCATTGCCACGTAGCAGGTCCACTGTCAGCACTTCCATTCAGAACCTCAGGAGGTGCTGACAATATTCAGTATTCACTGTATAAGACCTGCTTCTTTACACAGTTAAGGATCTGGGAAGGTAATCTACCAAGAGACAGGAGGTCATAGGGTGTGAATATCACATCATCAAACTTTTCCAAATAATTCCTACCTGTTGAAACTAAGAAAATTGATTGCTACTAGAGGTTGCTTTTAACATGTCAATTAATTGCAAGCTGTGGCTATAATGAGTCTGACCTCAGCGGCTTTGTTTCACACAAGTCCCGCCATGCATTCTAAGCCTTGGAACAAAAACTTTTCTAAATAATCTTTATCCTGTTCAATTATCCAAATACATTATCTTGTCCAGACTGACATCATCTCAAATAACCACAAAGAAAGACTAAGTGGTGTGTGAACCAATAGGATATCAGATGTCTATATCAGAAAAGATACTGGGTAGAATGGTGCAGTATTAAAGAATAAATCACCTCCCATTATTTCCTGTGATGTAGTGAATATGTCTGTCAGGGGAGAACCCTGTTTCCTATTTATTTGGATTCAGAACAAGACCTCAGTGGCAGGTACAGATACTAGGAAGTTGGTCAAGGAGCAAATTGGTTCCTTACTGTGATGGAAGGAGCCCTAAATTCATGGAGCTTCTATAAATCTTTGAGGTCCTGTCTCTGATGCTGGGGGTGGGGGACTAGCTACAGAGCTGGGAAGGGATTAATTTTTCAGGGAGACACTAGACATCTCTGTCATTGGAAATGGTAACTGAGACTTCTTAAATTATTCCAAGTGAAATCTGATAGGCACATCGTTTTCATTCTGTATTAAGAAATTTTTAGGACTTCTAACTTGTAAATTTCTACCTCTTGCATGTTGATATTCAGGCAAAGAAAATGACATTGATGAGGAAGACTTACAGAAGTTCAAGAATGTGTCTCTAGAACGGGAAATTCCTGAGGAAAACATTAAGGATTTAACCAAACCTGGTAATGGAATATATATTTTTTCTGAATATACCTTTCACCTCATATGTAAATTGTCTGTGAGGAAACAAATCAAGTTAATGACAATATGTTCTTCCATAAGTAATCATCTATATAATCTCTTACTAAAAGAAAAGAAAAAAGCTTGCAAAATTTAGGGAATCTTAGTAATTGGTGGATCATTCATTTTTTTTCTCCAGATGAATGTGTTTCCGTGGCATGAAAATAACTTTGAAACGCCCTAATTGTAAGTAAGCATGGTCTGTTATTAGCGCTGTTTCAACAAATAAATCACTAAGTCTTTGTGATTTCATACCTGTCAAATTTTGTAGGTAACAGTTTTTTGTCCTGATAGCTTACATTCTATCACTAGAGACTTTTCTCTTACTTGAGATAATTTCTCTTCTCTCGAGCCATATTAAATCACAAAAGAGTTGGTTGATTCATGCTGAGCAGCTTTGGTGGGGAAGCCTTCACCTATAGGAAGCTTGCAGACCAGAGTCATCAGAGAGAAGCAGGAATGGCCACAAGCTGGTAAAAACTAATTAGTATCACTGTCAGTCCTGACCTCATGGTTGTCCACACACATCCCTTCTTCAAAAGAACTGAAATTAAAGAGATCACGTTTTCTGCAACACCTGTTTGTAATCTCACATGATTCTGACAGAACCAGTAAAGTCCTTCCAACTACGCTGTCTGAAACATGCATTTGAATTTTATTTGCATTCAGAAGGTGATTTTCTCAAAGTGAGATCTTTAAACTTTCTAAAGTAAGACAGCCTTACAAAACAACACTGATAAGGCTAATGTGTGGCTTATAATTTTCTATGGAGAAAGAAAAACGAAAGAAAAAGAACAAAGAAAAACTCTCACTTCCAGGTGAATATGATAAGAAAGGTGTGGTACATATATTCCATGCAATATTTCTCAGCCACAAAAAGAATGAAGTCATGCCATTTGCAGCAACATACATCAGCCTAAGAGACTGTCATTCTAAGTGAACTCAGTCATACAGAAAGACAAATACCAAATGATAACACTTATATGGAGAACCTAAAATATGACCCGAGGGAACATATTTACAACAGAGAAAGAGATGGACAGACATAAAGAAAACACTCGTGGTTGCCAAGGGGGAAGGGTAGGGCAAGAGAAGGATTGAGAATTTGGGGTTATCAAATGCGACCTATTCTATACAGGATGGAAAGACCAAAAAGGCCTCCAGTATAGTACAGGGAAGGATATGCAATACTCTGAAAAAATCTAATTGGAAAAATTATATGAAAAGAATATTTATATGTATGTAGAAACTTCACATTGCTGAACACCTGAAACTAATATAACATTAATAACCAATTAGGGGGGAGGAGCCAAGATGGCGGAGGAATAGGACGGGGAGATCACTTTCTCCCCTACAAATTCATCGAAAGAACATTTGAACGCTGAGCAAATTTCACAAAACAACTTCTGATCGCTAGCAGAGGACATCAGGTGCCCAGAAAAGCAGCCCGTTGTCTTCGAAGGGAGGTAGGACAAAATATAAAAGATAAAAAGGGAGTCAAAAGAGCTACGGACGGAGACCCGTCCCGGGAAGAGAGTCTTAATAGAGGAAGTTTCCAATCACCAGGAAACCCTCGCGCTGGCGGGACTGGGGGAAGTTTTCGGCAATCTAACTGGGAGGAAAAATTAAACAAGGCCCACAGATTACGTGCCTAAAAGCAACTCCCAGCAGAAAAGTACCCCAGACGCCCGTACCCGCCAGCAACAAGCGGGGGAGGAACGGAGAGGAGCGGGCGGGATTGCTTAGGGTAAGACCAGGAACTATAAAACTCCTAGAGGAGAACATAGGCAAAACACTCTCCGACATAAATCACAGCAGGATCCTCTATGACCCACATCCCAGAATTTTAGAAACAAAGGCAAAAATAAACAAATGGGACCTAATGAAACTTAAAAGCTTTTGCACAACAAAGGAAACTATAAGCAAGGTGAAAAGACAGCCCTCAGATTGGGAGAAAATAATAGCAAACGAAGCAACAGACAAAGGATTAATCTCAAAAATATACAAGCAACTCCTCCAGCTCAACTCCAGAAAAATAAATGACCCAATCAAAAAATGGGCCAAAGAACTAAACAGACATTTCTCCAAGGAAGACATACAGATGGCTAACAAACACATGAAAAGATGCTCAACATCACTCATTATCAGAGAAATGCAAATCAAAACCACAATGAGGTACCATTATACGCCAGTCAGGATGGCTGCTATCCAAAAGTCTACAAGCAATAAATGCTGGAGAGGGTGTGGAGAAAAGGGAACCCTCTTACACTGTTGGTGGGAATGCAAACTAGTACAGCCACTATGGAAAACAGTGTGGAGATTTCTTAAAAAGCTGGAAATAGAACTGCCATATGACCCAGCAATCCCACTTCTGGGCATACACACCAAGGAAACCAGATCTGAAAGAGACACGTGCACCCCAATGTTCATCGCAGCACTGTTTATAATAGCCAGGACATGGAAGCAACCTAGCTGCCCATCAGCAGATGAATGGATGAGGAAGCTGTGGTACATATCCACCATGGAATATTACTCAGCCATTAAAAAGAATTCATTTGAATCAGTTCTAATGAGATGGATGAAACTGGAGCCCATTATACAGAGCGAAGTAAGCCTGAAAGATAAAGACCATTACAGTATACTAACACATATATATGGAATTTAGAAAGATGGTAACCATAACCCTATATGCAAAACAGAAAAAGAGACTCAGATGTATAGAACAGACTTGTGGACTCTGGGAGAAGGTGAGGGTGGGATGTTTCAAGAGAACAGCATCGAAACATGTATATTATCTAGGGTGAAACAGATGACCAGCCCAGGTTGGGTGCATGAGACAAGTGCTCGGGCCTGGTGCACTGGGAAGACCCAGAGGGATCGGGTGGAGAGGGAGGTGGGAGGGGGGACCGGGATGGGGAATACATGTAAATCCATGGCTAATTCATTTCAATGTATGACAAAAACCACTGCAATGATGTAAAGTAATTAGCCTCCAACTAATAAAAAGAAATGTAAACAAACAAACAAAATAACCAATTAGATTCCAATGTGTGCTTCGCTGAGAGCTCATTCGGTAAGGAATCGACCTGCAATGAAGGAGACCCTGGTTCAATTCCAGGGACAGGAAGATCTGCTGGAGAAGTGATAGGCTATCCACTCTGGTGTTCTTGGGCTTTTCTTGTGACTCAGCAGGTAAAGAAGAATTAAAAAATAATATTTCTTGAAGACCAAAATGACAAAACGTGTGTAATTAGAGGCATGTATTACAATCTTGGACCTGAACTTGCATTCTGAAATCAATAGTACTCGGATCTATCCCAAATGGGAAAGGTTGCTCCATATTTACATTTGGGGAAATTTCACATGGACCCCCCACCTACATTACAGAGATGTGGAGTAGGAGGTCCACCAGGTTTCTGTCCACTGGCTCACCTACCAGCTCCTTTACTTTGAGCATGGACTGCATGAGGCTCACCCCTGTCAACCATCACACAGTCGCCTCTACTAAACCTCTGGTTCTGTTTGTTCACCTACAGAGAGAGTCACTGAGACCAGATATGTCCTCTTCCCCATGGAATCAAGATCGACAACATGAAGATGACCTTCCTGGTTCCTGATTATCATGATCCTTCTCTCTTCACAGTCACACTCCTTTTCCATCTCATCTCTCCTGGTCACTAATCACGTCCTGTGTGGTGGTATTTGATTTCTGAGGGCTTAAATAAATCGGTTGGATATAGACCAGATTCACATGTGTCTTTACTGAAAGTCTATGTTTTAAAACACACAAATATGCACAGTAAATTTAACTATCTGGAAACACATGCATTTCCTAAGAGAAGAGTTTATCAGAGACAGTTCTGAGGATTAACTGGAGATGCCCTCGAGGTGTCCAGGGCAGAAGAATAAAAAGGTCTAAACCATCACAGGGCAAGGGACAAGGGTTATGATCCTCTTACTGCAGTGGGCAGGGGCAGTCTGCTCAAGAAGGATGTCCCTAGAAAGCACTGTACTCATTACGCAAAAAGGAGGTTGTGTTCCACTGTCTGAGCTTCATGGAGAGGAAATGTAAGGTGCCATGGACCACAGCTGGGGGGAAACATGTCTTCCGACAGCACCAGCACTTCTGCAGTTGAGGTGAAGGACTGACACTTCTTGACCTTTGGGTCACTGGGAATCAAAAGTGGAGCACCCCTGAATCTTGGTCAATTCATAGGACCATGACTTAGTGCAGTGTTCACAGGTTCTAGATGATTGACAGCTCAGTCTAGAAGTTGTGAGTCTTCATAACATTTAAAGATGGTCTTCCAGCCTCCTATGTTTCTGACACCAGTAGATGCTAGGATTTCCAAGGACTGGCATTCCCACAGTCATGGGCAGAACACACTGGTCAGCTCCCCATGGTGGTCGAGCTGTTTGCAGTCTACAAGACATAGCCCCCTCAAGATATAGAACTGATTCCAAGGCTTGGGGCCACAGCTCCGATATTTGACCTAAGAGCAGGGAAAATACTAGAAGTAATGTAACAATAAATGTTTTAGATCCTACATAGACATGGCCTCCAAATGGGCTACAGCTGCCTGACCATTGTCTAAGACACCAGTAATGAATCTTTCCATTGCTTAGCTGGTAGTGATGGAGTTCAAACGCAGTGTTTAAATTCTCCCACTTGTATAGCACAGTGTATGCAGTTGGATTGTGACTACGGTCTTCACAGAATGTCTGGAAATGCTGGACTGGATGAGTGCATACACACAGAAAAATTGAACATAAGGAAAGGGGGTGAGTCTCTTAATAAATTTTGAAATGCAAGACCTGGCATGATCAAGTCAACAATTCTGAAATATCATATACAACTATCTGTATTTATCTGTGGGTGTATATATATATGTGTGTGTGTGTGTGTGTGTGTGTATCAGTTCAGTCCAGTCGCTCAGTCATG